TTGAAAGCATTGCTGAGAGCTTCATCCTTGCTATTTTGGAGCACAGAAACCCATCTGGAAAAGACAAGAGAATCCCAATCAGCAATCCAAGAAGCAAGCATGGGCAGGAAGAGATCGTACTACAAGGAAGGGAAACGTAGATTTCACAGTGACATAATTGGGCAGTCTGCACTAACACCTATTATGACTTCAGTCTTAGAAAACCATCACTAATGACCATTCACATGATGGGTTCAGCCTTGGAGATTTCCATTAGAAGCTTTCTTTAAAGGCTGAAAAAAGCAAGTGAAGTGTGGTGGTTAAACTAGACTCTGGGAGACTCTGCGTACCAGTCCCCATTCTGCCACACAGATTACTGGGTGACCTTGGGCCAGTAACACTTTCTTGTATTACCTTGGATAAAATGGAGACAAAACAACTGTAGATGCCACCCCGAGCATCCTTGGAGAGAGAATGGGGCAAAAATGCACCAGAGACATATATAACTATTATAACAACAACAACAACAACAGTTTTAAATAATGAATAAATAAATAAATACATGAGGCACTCCTGCTCATCCTCAGCTTGGAAGTGATAAGTCCGGTTATCTACAAGAAGAGAAAGAGATGGATCACCTACAATACCCTCAAAAATGACAGCTCTACATATACTTCATGAAGCAGCAGGTATCTATAATTCTGACCAGGCCTTAAATCAATCACTTCTTCTCTGCTCTTAAACTCCTTGTCCAAAGTTCCAAAGCCCTCTATGATCCTCTTACCCCATTCTCTCTCCTGTCACATCCTAACATACTCCTGCCCATGACCTGCTGTCCTCAGCAAGCCAAAAGGTCCCTTGCTCCTTCAAATAACTTCACCCTTTCTCCATTGTGCCTGCAAGTGTCCACCCCCAGAACACAGGCACAATGTCACCTTGAAATCTTTCTTCAAAACTCACCTATACTGCAAGGCCCGAGACAATCTCTTAGTCCTCCTTCCCTATTAAATGTAAGCATGTGTACCTGGAATGAATGTACATTCCTCCTTACAGTTACCCATCTATAAAATGGAGGCTGGAAAAGGAGCAGTTTAGCTGGTGCCGGTTCAAGTTTACTTTGGGGATGTGCAGGATAGGGAGAGGTTTAACCCTTTAACCCTTGATCATCCTCATCAGCTACTTTATTTCAGGCTTTTTGCTTAGAGAATGAAACACTGGACTTACATTGGAAACCTGTGAAGATTTCTTCTCTTCAGTGCGGGCGAAGTCATCCTCCTCTGGGCTACGCCTCCTACTCGCTCCAAGGTAGGGTTTATACACATTAAGCTGATCCCTAAGAGGACCAGTAGGAGGCAGACCTTCTCCAGTCCTGCCAAAGCTGAGCTCCAGATGGAAAACTATAAAACTCATTAGGTTAAACTTCCTGCTGTGAAAACGAATGGGAAGACTTCATCCAATATTGCAGGGCTATTTTGGGGCAGGAACGCACGGGAACGGAGTTCCGGCTGGCTCCCGAGTTGGCCACCCTCAGCAGGCACTCATTAGCATAATAGGCCACACCCAACAGCAGAAACTCATTAGGATTGGCTACATTAGGGGTGTGTGGCCTAACATGCAAAGGAGTTCCTGCTATAAAAAAAGCCCTGGGTTTTGACAACGAACAAGGTAAACAGAATCAGAAGCAAAAGGTGGGTGTGGCTGGATGACCACACTTCTGGTAACATGGGGGTGTGGCCTAATGCGCGAATGAGCTGTGCTGTCAGGGGTGTGGCCTAATATGCTAATGAGTTTCTGCTGCTGGGTGTGGCCTATTATGCTAATGAGTTCCTGCTGGGCTTTTTCTACAAAAAGAGCCCTGCCAATATGTATGAACGATATACAACCGTGGTCTGAAGAAAAAGGGATCCTGAGCAGCTCCAGTACCAGGTGGAACAAGGATGACTTCACCCCCATTGAAGAGAAGAAATCTCCACAGTAAGTCCAACATTTCATTCTCCTTCAGTGGGGGGAGATCCTCCTCCTCTGGGATATACCAGAGCTAAGTCATGTTGGGAGGGAAGGAGCTCAGAATCAGTGACGTAGCACTCTACACTCAAAGGCAGACTCTGCTGAGGCCATTTTATCAACTTTATAATGCTTAAGAAAAGTTGAAACAGATGACCAGGAGGCTACCCTGCAGATTTCATCAATGGGGACGTTAGACAAAAATGCCGCCGTTGTTGCTGCTGCTCTGGCAGGTACAATGCAATGCTTCGTATGCTTTGAATATACACTGTCAAATCCAGGAAGCAACAGTAGGCTCTTTGGGCACTGTGAGAAACAAACAAGACATCTGCACAGCTAAGAGAAGCTGACCATTTGATATAACAACACAAGAGTCCTGCAAACATCTAGCTTGTCCCTTTTGCTTTTTCATGCACCAGGTTTGGACAACAAGAGGTGGAGAATCTCTGCCGCATCTTGTTTAAATTCCAGGTGAGAAACCTGTGGGGAGATAACTAAGGGAAACAGGGAGAGATAACTTGAGCTGCTGCCTGCAAAAAACTTGTGATGGGAGAGAGGATTTTGTTGTTATTCAGCTTGAGAACAGACGACAATGCTGACAACTGCCTCCTTATAGTGTTTGGATGGAGGCCCAGATGCA